TAATTTTTTTTATGGTTAAAATTATGGATCAGTTAAACGGGGTGGTTCATCTGATTTCATGTCAACCCATTAAAATCGTTGGGTCCATTTTAATTGTCCAATAAAATAAACAGAAGCAACTGATTTACTGGTCCTACTAATCGAGTCGTTAATCGGCTTCGTATCTTATAACAATGGAAACACTACTAGAAACTTAATAGTCGACAAAATTTGATGAAATATAATATTAGATCGAGCCCATTTTTATGCGTTGGAGATGATATTTCAAGTAATAAAGAAAAGCTTTCCGCGAGCCAAATATCGTGTCATTATTTTGGGATTCTTCCAATAATAGCATCTTTTAAAAAAAATTACAAAATAGCACCCAAGCCCATAAAAATTACAAAAATAGCACCATTTTTATGAAACCGCACCTTGGAGATGCGGTCCATGCCACGTCAGCCAGGGAATCGCACTAGGAAGCTGCGGTTTGTGTTTCCTCCGAAGCGGCCTTCAAGACCGTTGGATAAGGCGGCGATCCAACGGTGGACCGAGCGCCAAGTCAGCGATCCGTACCAAGGATCGCAGATCTCACCTTCCCCCTGCGTTCCGTGCCTCGAGAAACGGAAACCGCACCCCCCAGATGCGGTTTCAACGAATGCAAAATTACCAGACCGCCCCTAGAGGGTGCGGTCTGAAGTGTATAAATACACCCCCTCATTTTTTCACACCACAACCCATTCTTCACTCTCTCTCTAAATTATCTCTCTATCCCCTCCCCTCCCCTCCCAAAAGTCTAGGAAATAGTGGTCTGTTGGTTGCGGCTAAGTCTGATCTGCCATCAGAAAACATTTCTTTGGTTTTTCCTTCAAAACCCGCCGAATCTCTGTCGGACTTTCGCGAAAAAATGGACGAGTGATTCCAAGGAGAGAGAGTTTATTATGATGAATTTCAAGCGGTACGTATTCATTATTCTGGTCAATTTTTGTTGTTATTATAAGCTTTTTAATTATTATATGTACTAACCTTGTTGTTATTCTCTCGTAGGTTGGGGACGACGTGGATATATACAACCAACAGTATTATTTGGATCAAGGGCCTATTGATCCAACCGACTTGTACGACCAACCCAACCATGATTCAAGGGATGTTTGGAACGATCACGAGGTACATACAATTCTTCATCATTTATCTTTCTTTTATTTTTATAATGTACTTAGTGGAATATAAAATAAATTTGAAATAATTTAATCGTATTGGTTGTTTTAAATAATTTAATCGAATACATAACGCCACTTACTTCGACTCTTTATAAAGAGATGCACGTCTAAGAAAATGTGGTTTTAAGCGATTATCATGATCCTCCCATTTCATGGGAAAATCGGGTATTAAGAGATCCTCGGATCCCCCCTTTTCTGTCAAAAAGGCTGCGTTTCTAAGAAGATGTATACCTCTTCTAAGAGTCTAACGAGTGTTGCATTGTATTCGATTAAATTATTTAAAACAACCAATACGATTAAATTATTTACCAAACAACCAATACGATTTATGTTTATGTGTACAAAATGAATTTTATTAATTTATTAAATTATTTACCAAACAACCAATTTGATAGCCGCAACAACCACCCTGGATTTCAACTGTCGATGGCCTTGGGATGTTATGGATGACACACATGTGTGTGCGTTCATAACACAGGATATGACCCAATGGCCGTGTCTCTTGCTGTTAATGGCCCGAATCCTAGCATTGCGTCCCTCGTTATGATTACGACATCTGACTATGAGCCTTTTCGTGTTGGAATGAGTTATGTGCAATTCAAAATGCCGAGTCATTGCTACAGTATCAATGGCGTGCCGCACCTCCTTCTTCGAGCCAAATTGTTGGCCCTTCATAAACCCAGTGAGTGGACCCCATACTGGAACCTCTGGCGGTTCCATGTCGCTGTCGACCATCCAATTTCCGTATGGAATGTGATTGTAGTAGGGGACTGGTACACGGTCACGAGCCACCTCCTCATCATTGTCTGACTCTGGTCCTGAATCATCAGCACCTTCAAGAGGGTCGGAGCTGTCTGCACAGACGTTGTTCTCTCCTTCTTCATCGGAGGGGGTCACTAACTGGTGCTGGCAGGGCATCATCCATCTGATCCAGCTCATGAAAGGCACCTTCATCAGCTCCATAATGGTAGTTGTGAAAACTACCGCTGCCTTATTGGAAGTTGTACTGGGGTTGGTTGGCATGGTCCGGTTGAACTTCTTCTTCATATGACGGGAAAGATTGATGTGACCTTCACCTTGCTTTTGGTACTGAAAATAGGAATGAGGATCATGGTAACTTTGGTAGGGATGATCTTCATATAATTCAACTCCACCATGGATACCAGATGTTTGACCGTCTCCAGAATGACCTCCAACCGCCTCGGTGTAAACGAACATCTCGGCTTTGGAAAGATTGTTGGACCTCAAGAATTTGAGCATGGCATCTACTTCATCCTGAGTGGTTATGAGATATTCCTCGTGCCACAACGACCAGTTTTCTCTGTTTGGATATCGGTACACCATACGATCAACTCTTCTCGTGCCATCCATGCAAGTAACGTCAGTACACATTTGATGGAGGTCTTCAAGCATCGGTCTGGTAGCGACCTTTATTTTCTGAAAATTGCCACCGACGTAGGTGACCCCCTTTCCGATCTCCTCCGTGTAACCATTCCACCGTAACCCAAGCGTGAACTTTTGGAATGCCATCTGCAAAAAAAAACCGTAGTTCAGTTAATATCATAAAAATCGCAAATCACAATAAAAAGTAATAAAAAATAAACTTACGAGTTAACGTTAACTGCAAACACACTAAAGAAGTAGAGAGCTACAACATAAAATTGAAAAGGGAGAAGGAGAGGTGTGAAGAGAAGAGGTTTCCCGGGGCTGTCTTTTATAGACAAAATCATCAATGAAAATCGCATGGGGAGGGTGCGATTTTCATCTAACATGCAGCCTCACGTCTGTCAACCTGCATGACAAAATCTCCAAGAGCTTGCAGGTTGCAGCAAGAAGCTGCACCAACTAGCTATTTTTTTTGTTGTAAATTTATTAAAATAGTGTTGAAGTGATCTTCATGTGAGTTTCATGTTTCAATTTATGTTTCGGGTGGGGTTTGGGTTGAGTTGGTCGGTTCAATATAAAATTATTAAAATAGTGTTCAAGTGACCTTCATGTAAATTGTTTTGTGCTGATTTATATTCCTTATTTATTTTTATAATTTTGTTAAAGAACTTAGTGTCCAAGTAATAAGTGACTTTCATGTTTCAATTTTTGTAAATTTATTAGAATACATATTTTCAAGTAATTTCCATATTTTTTAAATTTCCTATACGAAATGAAAAAAAAAATTTACTTAGGTTTAGAATGAAAACTACAGTTTGATAGACTATGTATTATATAATATAATAATTATTTAGGTGGTTTGGTGGGGTTCGTGTTGAGTATGTCGGGCCATGGGTTAGTGGGGTTTGGATCAATCGGGTTTGGGTTAATCAGATTACGGTTTAATCGGGTTGCAGGTCAATCGAGTTCAGTTTAGTCGGATTACTGGTTAGTCGAGTTGCGGGTTAATCAGGTTGTGGGTCGGACGGGTTACGAGTTGTTGGCTTTTACTCAATCCGGTTTGCAGGTTGGTTTGATCGTAAGGGTTAGGAATGACAACAGGTCGGGTCAGGGGCGGATAGTGCATATCCGTTATCCTACCCAAAGTAATTCGAGTTTTATCCATACTTATACTCACATCCACATAAGAATCAGGTAGAAAACCAAAACCAAAACCATGCCCATACCCGTTCGGGTTTTGGATATCCCGGGTCATCCATGGTTAATAATTACTCTTTATAGATCCAATCAACATTTTAAGATTCACACATATACTCACATTATATAGTGAAAAAGTATGGCAATAATTTACTAGAAACAAGAAAATTAATTTCAAACAAACAATTTCGTGAAAATATTATATTTGTATGCTAAATATAAAATATGTTGGGGACCATAATGATAATTTCTAGAGTAAATACTTGTTCATGTGTATAATTGGGCGGGTTCGAGTTGGATAGTGAGAAGATCATATCCACTCATTATCTGCAATATTCGAGTTTGAGTTTTACCCATACATATCCATACAAAATGCTTCGGATTCAGATTTTACCCTATTCAATTAAAGCGAATTCGAACGTATATCCACGATTTCATATACTTTTGCGAGGACTGATTAATCTGGTCGGGTCCGTTTTGACACCTCTAAGTACCTACCAACTGATGTCTGGCCGTGGGGCAGTGTCCATCAGTTTTACGTCTTAACCAATAACCACTTGAGAGAGAGAGAGAGAGAGAGAGAGAGAGAGAGACGGTGAAGGTCTCATCTTTTCCTTTTCCTTTCCGTTTCAGATCTGTGATAAACCTCTTCGGCTACGCAGGGCTAGGGTTAGAAGCGTAGATTGTTAGTTGGTCAAGAAACCAAGGGAATCAATATTGCACAAGAACAGAGCAGAGCGTTGAGAAAAGGAGAGAGAGCACACAGCGATATCTAAGTGAGTTTCAGATATTTGGATTTCCATAGCTGCCTGGGACGAGGTGATATTATTATTTAGCCCTTTTGATTGTTGTGTGTCTGTGTAATTTGTTCGTCCTTGACTCCTAATTAGTGTCGGAGCGGGCTCTCTCTTTGTTTTGGTTTCGGATTCAGGATAAACACGCCCGCAGCAACTATATTATCATAAATTAGTTTTCTTGAGGAACTACTAAATTCCTGTCCTTCAATTAACCCAACCGATGAATTCTTATCGAACTCACCAAGTGTTGGGGGGCGAGAGCTGGTGAACATGATGATGAGGAAGGAAGAAGAAGTAAAAGTAGGAGGAGCAGAACAAGGTCACGACTGGAGCGAGTTACCTAGGAGTTGCTGGCTTTGATCGAGCAAAGGTACTTAATCCAATTAAAGCATGAAATTCGTTTCCGAGCAGTCTGTAAACCATGGAGGAAAACCCTCGCCGATTTGCAGCCTATAATGTTCCGTCAATCATTCTCGTCGTTGTTGCTGATGTTGCCCTACTGCAACGAGGAAGACCACAAAAAATGAGGGTTGCTGCTGCGGCAGCCAGGAATTACAATGCCGCCGCCTTCTGGACTTGGCCCACAGCCAATATCACTACATTGACTTTGTGCAAGGCTTTGAGAATACGAACTGCCGTGGATCAGGATTTGGATGGTTGTTTATGTTACAGGTGCCAGCCCCGGTGTTGTTGAACCCTCTTACAGGGAAACAAATCTCACTGCCACCCTTTACTTCTTTACCGGATGTTTTGCAGTATAACCCGGAACGAGTTGGGGGTGAATTTGTTCTGCAACATCCTAATGGCGATAGAGTAAGAGTAGGGAATAGGCGGCTTGGGCTCAACTTCTCGAGAGTAGTTGCAATGTCAGCTGATCCAACTACTACATCATCGGAGGATTGCACCCTAATGGCCATTCGTACTAACGAAGGTTGAGACTTAGTGTTCTGCAAGCCCGGTGGGGATAGGTGGACATTGGTTCCCGATCCTGAACGCATATTATCCTCGTGTAACAACATTGTGTTTTGGAGGAATCCATTTCATGTCGTTGATAGCCATGGCAATGTCTTGCGTTGTGATATTGATAATCTTGTTGCTCCCACCATATCTTGGCTGGTTGCTGCTGTGCTGGTGTTTCTTTTGCTTCTCCATTCACGTACCTGGTTGTTGTTCCAGATAATGAGCTGATCATGGTTGTCAAGTACGTGAGATAGGAATTCGACGATGAGGATGCTCCTGCTGCTGAAGGAGGCTATGGATTGAGAGGTCATCGCCATGAGGATGCTGGTTATCATGAGGATGTTGGTCACCATGAAGCTGCATATCACAACGAGGATGTAGGCGGTGATGAGGATCATCACGGGGATGTTGGTCACCATGAGGATGCATATCACAACTAAGATGTCGGTAACGATGATCATCCTGAGGATGTTGGCGACCATGATGATGATCAGGATAGTATTTTAAACTTCACTGATGGTGAATTGGATGGGAAGGCGGACTTGGAGAGTTATTAGTCAAAAGATTTCTTGGTTTGTAGGCTCAATGAAGATACTTATCGTTGGGATAGGGTTCAGAGCCTTGGTGATTTTGCATTGTTCTTGGGTAGTAATGATTCTAGTTGTGTTTCTACCAGAGATTATCCGGGGCTTAAATCGAATTGCATTTATTTCACAGACGATTACATTGCGAAGCATGTACCAGGTCGGCTTGGTGGTCATGATATGGGCATTTTTCATCTCAGTGATGGTACAGTTGAACCATTTTGTTGCAACGGCTTATGTAAACCTTCTTTGATTTGGCCGCCGCCCGTGTGGATTTTACCATGAAAGATTTTGTTTGTTGGGCTTCGTGTGTATTTGCTTTCTATTTATCTTCTCCTCCTAGAAATTGAAGGTCGTGCTTCCCAGCGGCATGGTGTACGCGTTTGTGTTGAATGGAAGTTCATTTTTTTGTTAATAATAATAATTTACTTGACCTTGCTCTATTGCTTTTCGATGAGTAGATAGTCGAGTCCAACCTCTGTTCTGTCATGCAGATAGTCGAGTAATGTCGTGTCATTGGCAATTTTCTCTGCTATTGGAAGATTCAGGCATTCAGCCATGATTTTTTCCTGTATTTGACATTGACACATTGAGGATTGCCGATCCTTTTGTGGCTGGTAATAAGATTGTTCAAGTTTAATATGGTGAAGATGGTATATAGTGCGTTGTGCACCATTGAATTGAGGTTTGTCTTGTGTTTTCGAAGACTCTCTAATGCGTTGTTGGGGTAGGATACGGTGATTACCCAGGTTTGATTTTTGACACTCCCTTTCTTATTGGTCCATTTTCCTTAATCATTTGGTAAGTATTAATGAAAGTTGCAGAATTTAACACTCACATTAAATACACATTGGGAATTAAATATCCCATATTAATTACTTGTTTTTTTTTAAATTTAAACCTATACTAAACACAATTTTCTCTCCAAAAAAAAGCAAATAATCCCTCTTCTCTCCTCCCTCTCATCATATGCTTCCGCCGTTATGATTTTTCGATTTCTGATTTTTCAGATCTGACTTTTCGATTTTTCAGTTATGTTTTTTGTACCACTGCACTTAAACTCATATATGATATTTTGTACCAGTGCACTGGTAGCGTTACCAATGAACTGGTAGAGATACCACTACACTGGTAGTGTTATCAGTGCACAGGTACAAATATCATATCTCAATTTAAATGTAGTGGTAGAAATATCAGTGCAGTGGTACAACGTATCACTGCACTGGTACATTTTTTTAATGTAACGGTACATTTTTGCGGGTGGCCGGAGGAAGTCTGACGGCAAGATTTCACCGGAGAAGTGTGGCGGTCGGAGGCTGCTGGAAAAAGGAAGAATGAGAGATAGGGAGAGAGAACTGTATTTCATGTAGGTTTAAATTAAAAAAGACAAGTAATTAATATGGTGCATTTAATTCCCTATGTGTATTTAATATGAGGGTTAAAATATATAGATTACATTTAATACCAAATGGGTGTCATTTTTCCAACTCCTTTATGGGGTTAGCAAGCTAACCGAAACCTGCGTTGTTTCGAGTAATTTTTAATGATTACTGAAGGATATATCAACTCCTCAATCTCGTATGTTTTTGCAGAAGTCATTCTTTTGCACGTCGGTCCTATTTTTAGGCCAACCAACCAACCAACTAGACATCCTTTGTCAAGATTTTCTCCTTTTTCATGAAGTACACTAGAGAACAAGAACAAGAGGAAGACATTGATTTCTTCGTGCAGAAATGCAAACAGAGACAAGAGATAATTAAATTATATTAAATTATAATTCTGGAGAAAAAGCGCAGAAATGCAGCACAATGAGCTGAAAAATAAATAAATAAATGAGAACAGAAAGAGGAGAAGGTGTGTGTGGGAGAGAGAGTTAGAAAATGGCGGAATATGAACCACTCGAATTCCCGATTTTATTTTGCTCTTTTATCTGTTCCCGATTTTCTGCCCAACCCATCTATCCGTTTGATTTGATGACAAGCTCGCAGTAATGATGGATCGATATGAGTGAATATATATGTATAAAATATCCTTATTAGTTAATTATCACGACTGCAAAAAACCAAGCAGATAACAAAGCAGTTACAGCCAGGCTGACAGGCGAACGTAGCACAACGAGAAACAAGGTGAGGTTCTTGTTCCTCTCTGTGCTCATCGCCATCTCCCTTTCTTCCGGCTTCTCCTCTTCTCAGGCTGCTGTTGATCGAAATTCAGTTTCCGTTCATCATCAGGTAAGTTGCCATTTCACATCTCAAACTCATCTATTCTGCACCAGTTTGGCCTTTCTCTCTTTCTTTCTTCCTCTTTGCTACCAGCCACTATGTGATTCATTTCGATCCTTTAACATTTGCTGAGTGTATGCTTGTCAATCCAAACCCAGCTTCTGATTCTCATTCTAATCACTTCCCACTTGTTTATGAAACGATTAAAAGATTTTGAAACATGGGATTTGAGTTCTGATGACATAATTGGAGACAAGCTCCAAGCTGCTGCATGTATATATGCATATTTGCCCATTAGAGTTCAACTCTATGTGCTAACAAACCACTCCAATTCTGTGCTTCTTTCACTTTCATTTAGCTATCCCATGAGCTGGATTTTGGTTTTACCATGCCATTGTGTAAAATATTAACATGTTTGTCTTAATTTGTAGAAGAAGCTATTTACACATATGAAGCTGGAGAGTGACTTGTGTTCATTCTTTTTCTATGTTTGATCACCAAATTAGGAGGGGGGAAACATTGATTTCTGCTGAGCCCTACTGATTTGGTTTCTCCCACTGTGGAAGAACTATATACAGAAAGCAACTCAAAAGGGTTTTAAGTTTCCACCGCCAAATTTCATGTTGGGGAAGAAAACTTGTAATGGTTATTGAGGGTGCTGGGGAAGAAGCCATATGATGGCCACCACTGCAGTCATTGGACTCACTGCAGGAAACAGACTCCTGCCTTCGTCCTTCCATTACTGTTCTGATCCTCCCGAGAAGCTCTTCTGTAGCAGCTCCGAACATGGATCATCCCACTCTCAATTCACTTCATCCAGAAGCATTGTAGTTGCCAAAAAGTCGTCATCAACATCCTCATCGTCACATTGTGGCCCTGGCTACCAGGGTTCCAGTAGACCCACGCATTCCATTAAGGCACTAAAAGACCATGTAGACACTGCAACAGCTGCAACCACATGGACTGAGACTAATTTGAAGGACTTGGAAGAAGAAGAAGAAAGTTGTGATGTTCTTCACTCCTCGCTAGAGGCACTTCTTCTATTGCAGAGAACTATGCTGGAGAAGCAATGGAGTCTCTCATTTGACGACGAGAGGGCAGATGCATCATCCGCTGTTGGTAAGAAGAATGGGAAGAAGAAGAAGAAGGTTCCCGTAGTTACCTGTTCTGGGATCTCTGCACGCCAAAGAAGACTCGATACTAAGAGGAAAGCTGTAGGCCAGAGTGGTATTAGCCCCGAGCTGGTGCATAATCGCTTGACTGGTTACGTGAAGGGCGTGGTGAGTGAACAACTGCTCACTCATGCAGAAGTGGTGCGTCTGTCGACAATTATCAAAGCTGGTCTCTCCTTGGAGGAACGTAAATCCAGGTAACAAATCCCTTGAACCATTTATTTCGTTGTACATGACATTGCCATTTGGGGAACTAATCAAGGATATGTTTCTTTCAACGTAGTTATAGTAAAACTGAGAAGAAAAAGTTACAACTTCTTCCCCTAGAAGTTTACTTACTTTTAGTTACTCACCCTAAATGGTTATTTTTTGGGAAATTGGCAGGCTGAAAGAAAGACTGGGATGTGATCCCTCTGATGAACAACTGGCGGATTCCTTGAAGATATCTCGTACTGAACTGCATTCCAAGCAGATGGCTTGCTCATTGGCCAGAGAGAAGCTGGCGATGAACAATGTTCGCTTGGTTATGTCTATAGCTCAAAAGTATGACAGGATGGGTGTCGAACTGGCTGACCTTGTTCAGGTGACCATTTCATTATTACCTTTGTTTACCCAAGTATTGAGGTTTAAAGCTCAATAATACTTCACTTCTTACTGGAGTGAGCTAGCTTCCTCTCATTTTTACCTAACAGTGCAATATGCTTATACGCAGGGAGGTCTGATCGGACTATTGCGTGGCATAGAAAAGTTTGATTCTTCAAAGGGGTTTAAGATGTCTACCTATGTTTATTGGTGGATTCGTCAGGTAAAGGGTGTTGAATCTTTCAGCTGGCCTGCAATTCTGTGAACTTTTATTGGTTATTATTGCACATTGTTGATAACACTTTCCTTTCCTAATGCAGGGTGTCTCAAAAGCTTTAGTTGAGAATTCAAGAACCTTAAGGCTACCTAATCATCTGCATGAGAGGTTAGGCCTCATAAGGAATGCAAAGATCAGACTTGAAGAGAAAGGAATAACACCGTCCATTGATGTAAGCCCATCTAAGTTGTTTTTTGTATTAAGGGAATGGTTTATAAGATCCATCTCCCAACAATTCTGAGTTACTGGGATTGGACTGGTTTTCGACAAATATCATGTTTTAATTATGTAGCATATATGAAGTTGTTGGAATTTAGCTCTACATGACTCTATCCTACTTCACCTTTCTGCAGAGAATTGCAGAATCACTGAATATGTCAGAGAAGAAAGTGAGAAATGCTACACAGGTATTATAGCATGAGATGTGAAAGTTCATTATGGTGAAAGATTACACCATTTCTCTTGCTTTTGTACTAACTGGATAGATATCGCCTTCGTCCTTGTACTTTAGGCTGTTAACAAGGTCATTTCGATGGATCGGGATGCTTTCCCTTCCTTGAACGGTCTTCCTGGAGAATCCCACCATGGTGTGAGTGAACCCAAATGCTGCAATTCCCAAGTTCTAAATCATAACATTATTTTCGAACATGCTGCTGACATTTCCCTCCATTTTCAATGCTGAAGTACATTGCAGATAACCACTTGGAGAACAACCCCTGGCATGGAGTAGACGAATTAGCACTCAAGGTAAAGTAGACCACAAACATTTCATTATTGACTGAACTATAGACTGAAGAGCTACTAGCTATATGTTTCCATCAGCATTCCAATGACATCATCAATGCATGCACCACTCTTCTGTCAGGATGAAGTGAATAAGCTAATCGACTTGAGTCTTCAAGAACGAGAACGAGAGATTATACGCCTTTACTATGGCCTCGATACAAAATGCCTTACGTGGGAGGACATCAGCAAACGGTTAGTCAATGCATTCTTACACGTCCAGTTCTCCTCCTAGAATATACTTGCATCAGATGCACTCTTCTTCCTTCTGATTTGTGACACCGGGGTTAAGTATGAACCTGTTGTTTTTGGTTTGATTCTGGGTTGACAGCATAGGGTTGTCGAGGGAAAGAGTGAGGCAAGTTGGGCTGGTTGCATTGGAGAAGCTAAAACTTGCAGCAAGGAAAAGGAAGATGGAAACCATGCTACTCAAACATTAGTTGATTATAAAAAGAACAAAGAACAGAACTTTACTGTGTAGTGTATATAAACAGCAAAAGGGAAGGAAAATCTGTATCAAAAATTTTCTTTTCTTTTTGTTATAGTTTTATCAACAGTGAGTATATGTGATTGGAACCTCCAAGGAAGACTCCATTTGTAGAGAGTTTGATCATCATCTAGTTCTACACATACAGATATACTGAATAAGAGCTTTTGTAAGAAAATGGGAAACAAAAGGCTTCTCATTGCAAAACCGTTTCCGGATACAAGTACATTACTGATTACTGTCGACCACCAAATCTAAGGCCATGAAACTAATGGCTGTTCCAAATTACTTCATTATTTTTTTTTTATGGTCAACACTGAGATATAAGTTTTTTTTTACCGGACTAATCTTTGAATTTAATGAATTTGTCACTAAAATTCGGAATAGTTAGTATGATTATGATAGTTACTTTGTCTATCTTGATCAGTCTTTCTTAGTTGTACTATTAGGCTAGATATACGATACATAATTTGGTACCACTAATGACAGGTTACGGTTCACCGTGGTTACTAAGGGTGAATTGGATATGGAAAAATAAATTATATTAATTAATTTTTTAATAAATTACATTTTAGGTAGTTACAAAAATCTATTAATTAAAATTCTCTCTTTCTCTCACTTTCGTGATCTCCAACCAGATTTCCTTTCCATATTTTTCTCAATCTTTCTGGAGAGAAAAAAAAAAAACGAAATCAGTACCAATCCATTAGACAAACACTACCACTTTGAAAAACATCAATATTCAATACCATTGCAGAAATAAATCTATACCATTACACGAAAACTACCATTGCAGAAATAAATTTATACCATTACACGAAAACTAACAATATAAACAATCTATACCATAAACAATCAATACTATTGTAGAAATAAATCTATACCATTACACGAAAACTACCAATATAAACAATCTATACTATAAACAATCAATACCATTGCAGAAATAAATCTATACCATTACACGAAAACTACCAATATAAACAATCTATACCACTCAATTTACGAAAACTACCAATACAAGGACGACCTACCAATGTAGAAATTACGAAAACTACCAATACAAGGACCAGGCCAGAAATTACGACATGGAAAACGCGTACTGTATCCTAAGCCCAAGAATCACTACTCATCGATCGGCATGAAAGTAACACAAAGATCAGAGTTATACATGGCGGAACCTTGGTTTTGGTTTCGATGCGAACGTCGAGCGACTTGATCCTGGTGGAGAGAATTCTAGCGAGGCACTGGCCGGCGAAGGGGTTGAAGAAGTGAAGCCCTGGCCAATCGCTCGAAGCGGCCCCATCGCTCCACCACGCCGATGTTGGCCTGGTCCACGCAGTCCCAGAGGAGGCAGTACGCGTTCCCCATTCTGATTCAAAGAAAATCCCGAGGGGGGCTGCTGCCGGCGGTGGTCGGGGCTGCTGCCGGCGGTGCGACGGAAATGGTACGTGGAGGCGGCTGCGATGGGTTTGGCTGGAGGGAGGATAGAACTAGGGTTTAGGTAGATTATATAGAATAATCAGGTGTGGTCACTTTTTAATTTCCAAAATTACCCTAAAGAATCTTGACCGTAAGATTAAAAAAAAAGAGAAAACAATTAATCAAATGGTATATAAAGAGGTTGTCACCGTGATTACTAAAAAACAAGTAATCACCCTAACTCATCCCCATGAGGCCACGTCAGCACAGGTTTAATGGTCTGATCGGGGTCCGGCCGGTTTGAGCCGTTTTAGACGTTTTATAATTATATATACAAATAAGGTAGTAATTAAAGATTTAATGAGTAAAATAAAATTTATCTTACATATATCTATTAAAAACTTATTTTCAACAAAATAAATCTACCTAACCTCCATGATCCACCCACTATTTCCCTTCCTTCCCTTCGTTCCTCTTCCTCTCTTCCCCCTCTCATCCTCTCTTCTTCTCCCTCTTTAGGGGGTCAGACCGAGGGACTTTCTAGAGGTCGTTTTGAAATCTAACTCGGGTCGAACCGGATCCAACCGAGGGTTTGATGGGGTTTAACAACCTTGCGCAGAAGAGAACCAGAACAGTCTACCCGTACCAGGTCAGCACCACTTAATATCTCGATTAGATTCCACGTGGCGTCCTCTGCTTCCCTTAACTTCTTCACTCACATCTCTCCCTCTCTCCCTTTCTCTCGGGCACCGCCCAATCTCCACACTCTCAGTCACTGCTTGCCACCGCCATCTCCGCCGCCGCTTCCGTCGGCCCTTCTTCCCCTCTTCCTTCCCCAACCCCACATATGCTTCTCAATCACTCTTCCCCATTTCCCCCATCCCAATACTCCTTCCTTCCTCTTCTAACTCATACAAACAAACCCCCTTTCCATTTTTCCTTCCTCTTCTTCTGAATCGGAAAATGGCGGCCAGGTCTTTCACATTCCCGCCACTGATCGACAGGCCGCTGCTCTCTCTTCCTTCACCTTCTTCTCGTTCCGTTTCTCTCCCTCCATGGCGGCCTTCATCCTTCCCCGCCGTTCACTTCCAGAAGTCATCCATCGTCGGCTACTCCTTCGCTCCCTTGCATCTACGCCGGCGTCCCCTCGTTCGCCGTTCCGCCGGCGAATCGGACGTCCCTCGGCCTCTCCACGTACACGCCAAGCATGAGGTAAACGTTGTAATGTGTTGTTTGGGGTACTGAGAACAATCTGATTCAGTTGCGATTGATTCATTTTCCCTGGTTCTGTTTCGTTTTTCTTCGCTCTGTAGGAACCAGTGGAGGTAAAGAGGACCGAGATCTTTCAGCATTGGGATTCCTGGACAGCGAAATTCGCTGCGGCAGCAAACCTCCCCTTCTTGCTGTTGCAACTGCCGCAGATCACTCTCAATGCCCGCAATCTCATGGCCGGCAACAATGCTGCCCTTTTGGCAGTCCCATGGCTTGTAAGTGCTCCTTTTCGGGACATTACGCCTGTTGTTCGTGCTATATATGTTATACTGATGGAGCTGTGTATCGTTCCCAAGGCTGAAATTTGCTTGTAATGATCTCAGGGAATGCTTACGGGTTTACTAGGTAATCTTTCACTGCTCTCATACTTCGCCAAGAAAAGGGAAACCGAGGCGATGGTGGTTCAAACTCTGGGAGTGATCTCAAGCTACATTGTGCTCACACAACTGGTCATCGGGGAAGCAATGCCTCTGCCTCAATTTGTCGTGACCTCGGTAGTTGTATGGGTTGGGGTGTTACTAAACTACCTGAACTACTTTGGAAAGCTTAATGCCGGTGTTTGGAGCTTCTGGGAAGACTTCATTACTGTCGGTGGACTCTCCGTTCTTCCGCAGGTGAACTTTCTTACTTCTCCATGTATATAGTGTATCAGGGGATTCAGTTGCAAATTTATCAATGCGGGCGCTTGTTTTCATTTAAGTGCAGCTCATGTGGTCGACATTCGTGCCATACCTTCCGGAATCTATCTTGCCAGGGGCAGTATCATTTGTGTTAGCTTTAACAGCTGTCGTCATGGTAAGTTTCGTAGGCCTTTTCGTCTTTGGTTATTGTATTGAATTATCAAGTGGCAGATGGATTACAAAGCACAGCCAGTGACATGCTTAGGGAAATGATGATGGTTTCGATTGTGCACATTCTCATGATCTAGGCTTGAATTGAAGTTGTTGCTTCTGAGATTAATGATCTTATACTGAATAAATTTATATGCTGCCAGCATTTCTGAATAAGGAACTCTATAACCTGAGTGAAATAATCTGTATTGAGACTAAAGGCTCGTTACCCTCTTTTTTATGAAGTTAAAAATTCCAGGATTGTAGAGGGTGGTTGATCAGCAACAATTTCCTACATCAGTTACTCAAGTTAATCAAAGAGCCGGTATTTAAACTCGGCATTGTGAATCAGCCTCTTGGGACTAATGTTCACATATGTTGCAGGCAAGGACAGGCAACCTCTCCGAGAAAGGAGTGAAGATTATTGGTGGATTATCTGGATGGACTGCAACCCTTCTCTTTATGTGGATGCCAGTAGCCCAAGCGGTAATCACAGTTTTCCCTCCTTTAGTTCTTATGATGAGAACAGTGTTGGATACGCTGATGTTTTACCTTTCATGCATCTCTGAGCAAAAGGGTACTTTTTGTGGCTCACATTCAGTGGACGAATTTCCTTAGACCTGAAAACATCAAAGGCTTATCAGCTTCCTCCATGCTGCTTGCTATGATTGGAAATGGACTTATGATTCCACGTGCACTCCTTGTTCGCGACTTTATGTGGTACTGCTCAATATCTCATTGCACCCTCTTTTTTTTTTTTTCCAGCTGCTTCGTTTCGCGCCATAAGATTTACTGTTTTCTTTCAGCTGCTTAGTTTTACATGACTCCAAGGCTTTACATAATTTTTCTTGCTCAACTTATGTCTTCACATTACTCCAATCTCTGATGCAGGTTCACAGGTTGCGCATGGGCTTCATTGTTCTATGGCTATGGCAATGTATTATGCATGTACTGGTGAGTTTCTCGTTCCAAATCTTGCGTGCGAAATTCCATGCCTCAACAGTGTCAACGACGATAGCAATTCAGTAAGAACTAAAAGCTTTGCCGTTATTGATTGCAGTTGCAATACAGTGAGCAAAGGATTCTTCGTGGCAACAACGGTTGGTTTAGTTTTGTGGATAGGTACTCAATGCCTCTCGATCCCATTCCTCCGAATCATTTTTTTATTATCGATTTCTGGGGAAAGCTTCAATCTGTTGAGCATCATTGAGCTTAATGTGTTCCTTTCTCTCAACAGGAATGACGTTCTGGAGAGATGCTGTGGTTTACGGATACAGGTCACCTTTCAGCTCTCTGAGGGATCTGTTTAAGCAAGTCTCGTAAAAGGCACGTCGAACTTTCAACATCAGTAGACATTGAGGAGGGAAGGGAAATGACTGGCGGAAGCTGAGTTCAATCTACCCCATGATCTTAATCCAGAGGGGAAATCACTGAAGGAAGAAGAGATGTCGAAGTGCCTGCAGGTGAGCAAGGAAAAGATTGCAGCTTAATCCGGCTGATAACCATGAAGCCTTCTTTGGGATTGGGTGCTTCTTGGACTTCCACACTAGTATACTACTAAGCATAAGCAATGTAAATTACTTTTGCATCAAGTGTCAGAAGTTTCAAAGGTTGGCTTTCCACCAACTTTTTCTGCACAAGAACACTTATGAAACCCGAGCTCATTAATTATACCATCAATAAAAATCGTTGGATTCAATTCAACTCCACAATGAAAGATCAGAGAGAAGCTCAGAATGATAGAGATAAGCTAATCGCTCTGTAGTTTTGATCAGGAAAGACTATCTATAAATTATAATCATATTATAATCTAGGGGGGTTGGTATTAACCAACGTCATCATGCAAAAGTGTTAGACGATCTCCAAATGAGTGTCAATCTGTTAAATTTTTAGTTTAGATTTGGCAATTTGGCTCTACCAAAATATGTTTTTGGCTCCAATGGGCATAGTTTTTTTTTTTACAAGAAGCTGCTTATATTGCACTTCAAAAGTGAGTACAAAGTTTAGGGTAAAACCCAAGGAAAGATACAGCAGAAATCAAAAGGGAAAATAAAGCCCACAAACAAAGCCCTAGCCAATGTTTCAAAAAGAAACAACAAATGAAGCCCAAACCCCAGAGCCTGCAAGTGAGCCCAATAAACCCTACAGACAACTACCAACATCAACCCTAGCCATCATCTCTTCTCCAACCTGCCGCCGCCAACCATACGAACAGAGCCGCCGAAAAACCAACGTCGACCACCAGCTCGCCGTGCAACGATCGGACCAACACCACAACGGGAGAACAGCAGTCCGCGAGGAGCCCGGAGACCAAGAAAACGGCAACGAACAGGCTTGGAGAAAAGAGACGAGCTTCAGGCCGATGCATCCCTGCCTTCAACATCTTAGAACCGCATCCAGGCCGCTGCATATGAGAAGGCCTTTGCATCTCCGAAACACCGGCTCAATGGGTGAAGCAAGGAGGTAGATGAAAGGTAAGAAGATGCGAAGACAAGCTACCGATCAGAGATCTATAGCCCCCTTTGACCACCGAGAGAAAGAACCAAAACATCTAAATCTGAGGATCAGAAGTAGAGGCTGGAACAGGAGACATCCATCTCACAAGGAGTGGCAGAAAGAAAATCCCAAAGATGGGCATGAAGGTGAAACGGAGATCTGGACAAGGAACAAACGAAACATGCACTAAGAAAAAACTGGAACCAAAACAAAATAAAAAGCTGGAAAGAAAAAAGGGTTGGGGGGCCACCGTCGGTCCCAAAGGGAAGCCGCCGGCAGCCCCATGGAGCTTGAATCTGAAGCCTAACTTAGAGAGAAGGCAGAGAAAAGGAAAGTTAGAGAGAGAGTGTCTCGCCTTCTCGCATCTTCATACGACTATTGCTCCAATGGGCATAGTTGAAGTGCCAATTTCTCAACTTTAACTTTTTGTCGTAATCTATTTTAGTGATGGTTCAAAAAGATAGGGCATGCCTAGGCGCAACGCAATGACAAAACGTTGTGCCTAGGAGTTTCGCGTCTAGTTAGATACTGGAACACGTTAAATCGTTAATTGAGTAAGGTGAAATATAAGTCTCTCCTAAAAATGACTAGATGGAGATAGGAAGTCAATAAAAAAGAGAAAACTAACGTAAACTACGAAATCAATTTTCTATACCAATATTTTCAATAGCTCAAAAACTTTGTGGGCTATTGTTCTATGAATTCTTGAGCTATGTTCTTGTCAGTAAGTGTTGAGTAAGTTATTAATCATTTTAACTCAAGTGAGTAAGTGTTGTAGATTACTATTTCATTCATCATGCAATGTGAATAGTTATTTTTCTTCCAACGCCTAGGCAGGCTTAGTCTACGCCTGGGCGAGCTAGGCGCTAGGAAAAGTCTCAACGCCCACCTTACACCTAATGCCTTTTTGAATATTGATTTTGGTATAGATATCATCATTCTATATACATAATTAGTTCATTATTTTTATATAGGTAGTAATAGTTAACTAAAACAAACATTTGTTTTTTTATTTGGCATAAAATTTTCGTCATCAAATATGATGTCGTCACTGATGAAAACACAACAATTGGTTCATATGACCATAGATTCATCATATGTTTGTTAGAATGAGTTGTGTCGTCAACTGCTTATCCAATTTTAATTATAATGAGTTGTGTCATCAACTGTTATCCAACTTTAATGAAAATGAGTTGTGTCAACACCATTCAACCTTCGGTCTTGAAGAAAATCATTCAACCTTCATACATCTCTAGCCACCAAATTCATTTTTCGTTTCATGTATTCCTCTAGTAGAGAAACTGATAAGAGACAAAAGAAAGCTGATGATAGGCAATGGGAGTATGAATGTCAGTTTGAGCATGAATGTACAGAGATATTGATGTACGCAACTCTAGTGCACCAACAATAAGCAAAGTTCATCACTACGTAAATTAGTGAGGCGTAACAAGAAAAAAAGGTTAAAAGGAGATTTATTGTGCATAATTATACATATTTTATCCCTTAAATCTTAGCTATTTCTTGGTCATTTGGGATGGAAACACGCTTATGTAGGACGATTTTATGCTAGGTTGTGTATTTGTGTCAAATTCAAGGTCATAATACGTGGATGAGGTTTTATGATGAGTGGAAGCCAAAACAAGTCAAAAAGGGAGGCTTACACATATGTCATGGGCTGAGGAGAAATGTCACAATCCGACCCATGACTTCCGACCCTAAGTCATGAGAATCACAAAATAGGAAGAGAATTCCTCGAATGTCACAAGCAAAACCATCCATCTCACAGTCGTGGCATTCCCAATTTTGACGCCTGTGAGATGCTTTGAAGTGCTTAAGGGAAACTGTGGGCATTGAATGTCACGACTAAGAGAGGCAATGTCAAGACCGTGATATCAGCGGTGACATTGCCTCTGCTCGGGTATAAAAGGATTTTTGAGATTTTGCAGAGGGGGATCTGAGTTTTACATTGAGAAACCTAAAGAGGGAGAGCTCTGGAGAGAGAAAACAATCTAGTATCATTCTTGGAGTTGATTTGGAGGATTCATTCGCCATTGAAGTTTGGAAATCAATTCTAGGAGTGATTACCGATCAGAAGCCGAATCCCATCACTCCAACGATGTTCTTCAACTTCTATTTCGTAATTCTTTCTTTCTTTATTGAGTAGACTCCTTCCTCGCTTGGGTATGATGAATCCTAGTTTTATTTGTTTGAATTGGTGATTTTTTGAAACTCTAGTGAGATTGACTCATCACTTATAATCGATCTATGCAATGTTTAGTGAAACATTTGAATCTTGATCACGTTCTTATGATTTCTGCTTTAACTAGTGATAAATATAATCTAAATAGGTTTATTAGAGCAACAAAAATTGGTAGTAGAAAATCAAATGCACCGAGTGAATTGATTCACTTCTTTGTATTGGGTTTCGATCCAATAGTGGGAATCTGGAGTCTATTGGCTTGGTATTATGACTTAGATGAGGATACCCCCCCCCCCCCAAGTAGTATATTCAAGAGGGTCGTGATTGCTTTAATAGAGATTCATGACTTATTAAGGATTCTACACAAGATAAACTATGAGTGAAATGAACTAGGGAGTTAACGATCATTAATCTGACTAGAGATTAGGAGGATTCAATACTTGAGTGACTTTTTCCCAAATAAACTTCAATCAATCTACTTTCTGCTTTATCAACTATCTACATTCAACATGAACATGAACTATTGGATAACAAATTTAGTATGAGTAATAGTACATCTGAGGACTCGAGAATTTGATATTTTATTACTTGTGTGACTATACTATAGTTGCTTTCACTGGTTTGACTTGGCCATTAATAAAAGTATAGTTTGTAGCGATCAAGTTTTTGGAGCCATTGTCGGAGACTGTTATAGTGTATTAGGAGAGTTCAACATTTATTAATATGGCTTTACTTTTCTGCCATTTCATCTCACATTTGCATTTCACTGTTATTTGCTTTAGTATGTGGCAACCTGTAGCCAATCATAAGACTTAGTGTCGATTGACAACAATATCAACAAGACCCTTTGAAATATGAAAAATATAGAGAACTATACAACAAGCTCTCCTTCAACCAGAAACCGGAGGACACTCATTTTGCAGTAGAAATCTCTGTCATGCTGACGGAGAACAATCGCTACAACCATAGGCTACAAGGACTATAGGGTACTACCTTACCCCAGAATTCGATATGCAGTCAAGCATCTTGCCTCCGTTAATTACTTCGAACAACTTTGATATCAAGATCACCGTGATCTCGATGATTCAGAGTTCCATTTAGTTCCACGATATGAAAACTAAGGAACCACACAAGCAGATCCAACGATTCTTAGAGTTGACGGATGGAATCAAGATGAATGATGTACCCGAGAATGCGCTTCGACTATGATTCTTCCCATTCTCATTGGGTGGACTAGCCAAGAAGGGGCTCACGAATCAACCTCCACCGTCTATCACCTCATGGACATATATGATGGAGAAGTTCATGACCCGCTACTTCCCCCATCCAAGACAGCTAAGCAGCAGTAGACGATCACCCACTTCGCATATGAAGAGGACGAGACCCTTCGTGATGCATATGAGCGATTCACAAATCAGATGTCCGCATCACGACTGTGATGACTAGTATCAGGTGTCTCTGTTATATAATGAGCTATTCCAAGAAGATATGCAACTCATCTATTCGTATGCCCATAAGGGATGGTGAACAAGACTCCACTCCAAATGAATCAATTGTTCGAAGATATGGCTGCTCGTGGGCATGACTGAGGTGTGAGTAGAAGAACAAAAGGGCCAGGATAGGGTGGTGTACTACTTGTTGATTCTCTCATTTTTTTAGAAGCTAAGGTAGACGGAGTCCTTAAGCTGCTCAATCGGTTGGAAGCACCTTCTAGAAATCAACCTACCACCCAACTTATGCAGTCTGAGGGGTGTGGGGAAAAGAATCATGTATTCAAAGAATGTCAGGTGATGTGAGCCACCACACACAAAGACTATGTGAAATTTGTTACCAAACCAGAATTAGGGAATTGTATCGGAATACATACAATTCAGGGTGGCGGAACCACCATTTTACATGGTCTTCACCGTAAATCCGCCTAGTTGTCTCACAAACTCCTAATTTCCCTCCTTTATCCCTCTGCAATGATGACTATTAGATTACATATCTTCCAATCTCAGCTATCGATATGTTATTTTGTAGTACTAT